GTGACGAGAGTAAGTGGCTTATGAGGAATAAAATTAAAAGTCACTATTTAAATAGACAAGATGGTTGACAGAGAACAATATTTAATGGATGCACTTTATTAATGAGTTCAGACTTGAGATGGGCACTGCTTGTGCAAACTGAACATCACTACACACGTACACTTTATTTTCACGTTCATGGCAACTGGAATTCCAGGATTTTGAGTTTTAAAACACAAGTGAAGAAACCCATTGTATGTAGTCTGAAGTATTTCAATGTCATTATGGAAGCAGTTCAGCAGTAGCAATAACAAAGTATTTAGTCACTACAAAAAGCAGATCTTCCAATAATAAACAACCGTATGGTTCTTAACATGCTTTAGCAAACGCAGAGATAAGCACAGCGAGCTGCCTTATAAAGCTGGGGTTCTGCCATGTCACAAAATTGCTCAGAGTGGATGCAAATGCTGAGTTCCCACACCTGCAATTGCATCCAGGTCACAAGAAGGGCCACATCTACACTTACCTTAAAACTTTAAGTTTTAAACCCTTCTTGATGAAGGCCTCAGAAGGAGGGTGGCCCCAGGGAACGTACGGTGGCAGTTTCTGTGGCTCAGCCCCTTCATACCATGAGACAAGATGCATGCCAGTGTGGATTATTTTTAACAAATCTTCTACTTAAAATGTAAAATGAAGGACCAAAGATGTAATAGCTCAAGAGATTCTGCAGATTGTTAAGTAGATGGAGTGGGGGAAAAGCTAGGACAAAAGAGAGGGTTATTCCCACTCTCCTTGAATTATCGTCACTACTAAAACAATATAACAAATCCTGTGCACATAACAGTAGAAGGATCCTTGTCAGCTCTCAACTAAAACTGACCTGGAAGAGTGTTTTTGGGAGGTGGATGGGTCAGAACCATGCAGGTTCCAGCCTGCGTGGCCTGAAGGGACACTGTGGAGACGACGCTACAGAAGGTGCGTGGGTATCAAGCAGCCGTTTGAAATGACTTCTACAAAACCTGTTGCTCAGACTTCCATACCCATATGGCAGCTCCACGGGTGGCCGGCTGGTGCCGTGGGTATTACCCCACAGCCCACGGAGGTAGGGCCAAGGCACCCGCGGGGCCGAGTAAGGCATGGGTATGGTTTTCTGAATGTCCCTGGACGAGATGGAGGGAAAACCCTTACTTATTTTTCTTGTAAGGATGCTACTAGGAAAACTATGGCTGAAAACAACACTTACTTGTTTCCAACAGTCTTTGGCTATTTCTAAGCTGGATAGCTCAGTGTGTGCGAGACTGAATTATAACACCGTTGTATTTTGGGGCACAATTTAATAGAAAAATATCAGAACTCTCTCTCCCCAATAGCTGCGAGAGCCACACGTGAATCTTTCTTTCTACTGATCGTGTTTGTCCTGCCCCAGTATAATTAAAGCACCCATAGTCTAGGCTGTTATGAGCTCTATTGTCTAATCAGGCTAAAATATCAAATGATAGCTCTATTATTTTTTAAGTTTAAATTTGTCTTCACAGCAATCCCCATGGTGCTGGGGACCGCACTATGAATAGAACAGTTCTGAAATGCAGTCAACAGACATTTCCGTGCAACTCCAAGGAAGGCACAGATAATTATTTTAATTGTCCCTGGTTTGCTCTTCTGTCCATAATTACAGTTTTGAGTTTATAAATAACAAAGCATGACTTTAAAAATGAAAACAAACCCCTCAGTTACAACACAGTTCCTGAGATAATTAAGTCTCCAAATGTGGCTGTGTAGAAGGGAACCAAAACTACATTGCAGAAGCCCATAACCTACAGATGTGCGTAAGCGGAGCAAAGCAACAGGATGGAAAACATCACCAGGAAAATAAACTCTCTCATCATTATTTCACTGCTTTTTACCTAAAAAAAACAATGGCCTATTGTCCTGATTCAACCTATTGTTTTGTTGCATTTTTTTGTTATTGAAGGAACCAACAGTCAGTCAGTGAGAGTTTCCGGAGGAGGAGCAGCAGCTTGAAAAGCTAAATGCTGTGCCTAAGGCTTGTTTTGCTGCAGATTTAGGAAAAACTGGACAAGGTAAGTTACCGAGGTAAACTAAAGTACACTGTTTAGGATTTAACTTGTTTGAATACCCCCTTCAAACAGAAACATACTCCAGTTTTACAAGGATGGTGGTTAAAACCTGTAAAACGACGCAGAGCAAAGCTCAGCCCTGTCGCACCCCTGCCGATGGACATTCCTCGGTTGTTACTGGGCGTTGGGTGCTGCCAGGGACAGGACAAGGAAAGCTCTGCGTCGGGAGCCAGCACAGGAGGAGGCTTCGGTAGGCGCCAACAGGAGCAAAAACG